TATGGATCGAGTTTCCGAACGCGCACACAACGCGTAATTGGGGTTCGCGTTTTTTAAAGACTGAGTACCTTTTTTATTATTTATGCAATACCAATCGTTCCTTAAATACTGGCATTCTACTGTGCTGGATGGTTTTGGAAAAAGCATAATTATCTGTTTTCCGTTACACTTTCAACCCTAGACTACCCTATCTATTTCCACTTTTAATAAATTTTCAGGAATTCTGATAAATGAAAATAACTCAATACTTAGTTGGTGAACAATTAGGGTTTTCATCGTTTCTTGTATTACAAACATTGATCCATATAATTTCTACATAAAACCAAAACTTACTTATATCTTTATCACATGATTTAATACCGCTGACTTACGAGTTTATCTACACTGTAAATAATAAAACTACGTAAATACATATTCTTTGTCGCGCTGATTGAAGTTTTATTAGTTTACAGTATGATAAATTGCAAATTTTTTATCTGATAACTAATAATAGAAAGGGTTATTATTTACATTCACCGGCACAACTAACTTATATTTTTGGTTTTAAAATATCCCTTGTACCTTGTACTTCTACTGCACAACGCAAATGGTACCAATTACAATTCTTAGCATGATTTGCTGTCCATACACATACCAAATTACACTGAAGTATATTGTATGACAAGGTGAACAGACGACCATTATAAAGGTAGCAAGGAGCTGGGTGCAGGCCGCTACCAACCGGTCAATCTGGAAATAATTGGGAAAATTGTATGTTCAGCAGTGGTCATCCTGTAGCTGAAATGATGATGACGATTATGATGAATTAAATGAAATAAAATTAATTAACTTTTTATTTTACTACGCAAGGCAGAAGAGACAATAACTATACAGCTTCTAAAAATAAAATTAAACACGTGAACTTTCCTATGACTCTATAACGATGTTGAAAAGCTTATTAATGGTAAATCTATAACGTTGTCAAGCTGGCAACCCATTAACGTGCTCCTTTGTGTATGACGCGGTTCCTGTTACAGAAACATAATCCCGACAAACTAGAATGGCAACACAACAAAGACTATGAAGCACAAAAGGCTTGAAATAGTTTGGTATCTCTTACGCTTAAGTCAGTTTATTAATTAAAAACTAAAATTTTTATGCACTATCGAATTTTCAATGCATACTGGCAACTAACTGTGGTTACAGCCACTAGTAATAAGTGAGTAAGTAATAATAATAAGTGAGTTTTGTAGTGAATTCAATCATTTTCTTCCTCTAATTCCCTTCTTTCCCTCAACTACTGTGTGTGTTACCTGTCTGTTTTAATGCTGTTTTGTTTTATTTTCCGAATTGGAATAATAATTATCACTATAAGCCTAGGCGCAGACCACAGACTTTTCGTCGGCCGATAGTTGGGCCCGATTCTAATTTGTATGGAGAATCGGCCGATCCAATGTGTGCAATTTCATACATCTCCATACTAATTAACAGCCCGACTCAACTACCGGCTAATTACTTATTCTGTGCTACCGGTCAGCTCAAAGTCGGTGGTCTGCGCTAGGCTAAAAATATCGATTTGTTTCACTTTTTAAACTAGGAGTAAAAATGTAGCTTGTTCAAATATTGTCATGAGACTTTTTTTTTCCACATTCTATTTTAGTATAAAGTTCACTGACGCAAGCAATAATAGGCTTAAAGTGACGGGCCTTTTCACTCCCCTCTGCATATGTCCAGTAACGGGATATCGTCAGATTCAATAATAGGGCAGTGCAGTGATAAACCAAATCAGGCTCTAGATGTGTTAGGGGCCTTAATTGGATGCGTTGCTCGCCACGTCAGGATATGTAGACACGCATTATTCTGTTTGCAAGGAGTTAAGCTGAGTTAGTTTAGGATCTACAGCTTGACCGCCAATAAAAACCCAACCAGTGAAGGTCAAGCTTGTACCGGGGGAAAGTTAAAGTGTCATTGAATCCACAATGTTATAAATCAGAGGAACATAGGAAGGGTTTGAACTTTTGAAGTTAACGTTCGTCTCCAGTGCAAAGCGGATGACAAGTGTGCCAAAACAAAAGTTAAGTAACCTTTTCTTAAAGCTAAGTCAGTTTGCACATAGCTGAAGCAGTTTTCCAGAGTTGTGTGCAGACTGCCTCTCCAAACGCTTCTTCTCAGCACTTGGCCATATTACTGTCCCCAAGCATTGGTAGGATTCATCATCATCATCATTTCAGCAACAGAACGTCCACTGCTGAACATAGGCCTCCCGCAATGATTTTCATAATGCCAAAACCGGTTGGCAGCGGCCTGCATCCAATGTTTCTCCGGTCCATCTTGTGGGTAAACGTCCTACGCTGCACTTTCAGGGTACGTAGCCTCTACTCCAGAACCATGCTGCTCATAACAATGTGGTAGAGTTGGGACGTGTAAAAGTACTCTTTGAGAGCCTACTGACAAAAATCAATAAGTTTTAAGGAAACTAAACTAACTTATTTTATTTAGCTCTTGGCCTGCAACTGGTTTTATCGTCGTTATTCAAGGATAGTATTCACTAACAGGTATATATCTATTTTAAAGTCTGTAAACCTTTGAAAAAGAGGCACACAATAGTGACCGTGTTTCTTGCGCTGCTTCTTCTCAGCACTGGCCCATTTATTGTCCTGAAGCAGTGGTAGGGTTAATACTGGGACGTGTAAAAGTGTTTTTTTAAAGCCTATTTTCAGAAATAAATTAGTTTTATGAGTTTTTATGCGAACAGTATCGGTCCAGATTCGGTCGAAGCTAAGATTAGAGCAAAGCCGGGCTTGATCAACCTATTGTCAATGTGGTTGTTTAGGCGTCCATTGCATTGGATTGATGTCTCCTAAGCTTAGCTCCTGGTGGATTAATAATGTTGCTACATACAGAGCTGTCTTCTAGATAAAGGGCTAGATGAAGTTATCAGTTTTAGTGGTTGTCTGAGGTTATCACGTGTACTTACTGATTATAATAATTATGCATGAATTACTTCAACAAAAAATAAAGTTATTGACTATTCATTCAGTCGGCCGTTTGGTGTAGTGGTTCAGAACGGACTACTATGCCGAGAGGTCCCGGGTTCGATTCCCGGCCGGGCAGAAATTGAAATGATGAATTTTAATTTCTGTGACGGGTCTGGGTGTGACTATGTATAATATTTATGTATTTAAAAAAAAAGTATATAAGTAGTATATCCGTTAAGCTAGCACCCATAACACAAGCATTAAGTTGATTACTTTGGGGCTAGCTGGCGCTGTGTGAAATTGTCCAAAGATTTATGTCCAAAGATTTATTCATCAAATGCAAATGCAAAGATCGAAAGCAAAATATTTCGCTTAGTACCTACTTACTTAATCATTACAACATACAAATAAAGTTAAGATAATAATAATCACAAAACAATGCACCATCAATTTCACGCAAACAGAACTGTGTAGGTAAATAAGTGAGTTATGTCTTAGGGACTCTCCCTATCAAAGGAAAAACCTGACTCAAATGATTATAGAAAACATGTCTTATTTTTCAAAATATTGGCAGGTACTTTCCTACCCTGGCAAGACATTCAATTAATAAACAATTTTATGAAGTCTAAAGTTTGGAACTACATGCTTGTTTCATGTTACTTAAATTATAAATTATTTCGTGACTATAATACAAAATAATCACTTATTACAAGCTTTTTTTTTAGGTAGGTATGTCCACTAAAACCTCATGCTATCAACGGGGTAGCCGTTTACCGAAGGGGTAAATTATGCTTTTTCGATGGGTGCATATAGTACACGTCCAAAATCAAACGCCATCAGCAGATTTTTTTTAGCAACAATTAAAATGAAAACTGATACTGACGTTCTTCCTCAGTTGGATTCTAAATAAAGTGATGCGTATCGACTTCACTAATCAGCAATAGGTATTCCTAGGAACGAAAGAAGAAGTCCATAGAATAGGAAATCCTGCATAAATCATAGGATTTAAGTGATGCAGCTGTGCTATTAATCAATGATTGGTCTATGTTCAGAAGTGCATGTCCTGAGGCTGAAATGATGATGAACATATAACAAGTGAACAGCAAAGTTCTTTATGAAAACTTCCTGCTGTTATCTGACAACTGTCAACAGCACGTAAACCATAACCGTCATACTCTCCGACGAACCTTAGTTTGACCTAGAAAAAAACAAGATTTAAAAATAAAACCGTAATCAAAAATTCTCAAAAACTCCACTAAATAAATCCTAGAGCATCAGAGAGGTAAACCAGCCTCAATTACACCATCCGATAAGAGCAATAAAGTGAAACAATACAGTTATCAGTTATGTCAAACTTTACGCGTCGTTTGTAGGCCGCGTGCACACTCGTGGGAAGTGTGGCACGGACACGTGACTTGCATTATTGTATTGAAAAAAGGGTTGCATTTCATTTAGTTTTTTTTTTCTCATTTTTTTCTCATGATAATGAATTTAGGATTAAGAGACAAAGGGAGATAAAAAAAAAGAAATTATGTCTTCCTAAAGATTTATATTTATTTACTCTTAATAACCTGCGTTGATTTGCGCGACACTAAATCACATGTCTTATAAAATAATAATGACATCACTTCTTAGACATTCTTGTGCTTTAAGAGACTCTGATATCACTTAATAAAATTTTCCACATTATAAATTACAATTTTCTTTCAATATTGACAAATTTACATAGACACGGACTCACTATTACCAATTTCCGCTGTCCTTTGGACCTCTTCATACCCGTACTACAATGTTTGCATTAACTAACATCCGCTATATACTTTAAGTTTGAAAAACTCATCAACAATGCAAATAATGTAACACGTGTTTCACAAATAAATATTTTGTATTTGTTTAAAAAACGTTTGTCCAGCATAAGGGCGCTTTCAAATTAGGCGTTTTGAAACGGACAAAATATTTAAAAATTCTATGACTGCTGCAATGGAATAAAAATGTCAATTACTAACAGTTAGTGTGCGGCCTTGCAAACGCGCGACAAACGTCGGACTCAAAACGTCTAATTTGAAAGAGTTACACTGATCGCACATCCATATTCGTGGCACGATTTTGCCACGCGCCGCGCATGTGTGCCGCGCCTTACTCGGCCACCACAACGTTTATGTCGCATAAACGAGCTAAGTTTACAAACGGCGCCTGCGCAGATCGCACGTTAGCACGTTAACAGCCGCGCTTCGTGACAGACACCTGACAAATGTGAAGAATCAACAAAGTTGTGTGATAACATGAAGGTGGCAAATAGTGGAATTGTTTCGAGTTAGCCGAAAGTGATTGTCACGTGAATTATTTAATTCTTTCATTTAATTTTTTAACGTAACTGGAAGTTTTCACCGGCTTGGAACTATTGTTATAAATGTAAGTACTCGTACAATACAGTAACTTTAGACATGTGCGTTAATGGCCACTCTCCTTTTATGGCCTAATCTTCATGAAGGATACTTATGCATACAATTGATATTGTTACCATAATATTGATCTCGTCTTTGTACGAGTATGTATCAAAATAACTATGACTGTACCTTTAAAGTGATGAAGTATCTTTATCCAAAATATTTTTAATACGGAGTATAAAACTTCCTGGTTGCCTAAATAAGTCTTAGACTGGGTTGCACCATCTTACTCTAACTTTGACAAACGTCAAAAATTTGTCAAACTCCATACAAAAAGCACCGGTTATTGTTATTATTACGGTTAAAAAAGGTTGTGGAACTCGGCCTTAGTTATGATACTTGACAGTTAAAACAGCTGTGTCAATTCTAAAACACTTGCATAACTGTAGATTCATTTCCTAGTCTTCGAGCAGTTTCTTTGATAACTCTTTTACAACTTCTTACATAGTTACGTGCAGTTTTTATTTTATCGCAGATTAATAAAATTTGTTAATTAAGGCAAGTACACATCAGTGCGAAACCGACTTGGCTAATTATTGAAAATTGCTCATTAAAATCAGTCATGTGGATAATAATGTAGGATGTTGACATAAATCATACCCCATTAACCGTGCAACAGTTAAATAAATAAATTGGATGTGAGGCAAAAATTCACCTCATATTTTTCACTTTAAAAACTGATTTTGTCTGTTATAAAACTTAAACTTTCTTGAGCTCTTCAAATCCTTGTACTAATAATTGGTACCTACTACATACATAGAGGAATTATTGGTTAGATTCTCTAAGACTACCTATATGCGAACTTGATCTAAATAGAAAAAAATACTCTCAAAACGTTGCGAATACTATTAGCTATCCGAAAGATATTTCATAATTATTTATTTCTAAACATGATTTTAATGGTTTTTGGAACCATTAAAATTATCTTTATTGGAACTTGTATTAGAACTGCTGTTTTTTATACATAACAATCAAACTATTTGTCTGATCATCCAATTCCATACGAACATAAAAAAGATCAATCTACATTTCATTTGCTTTGGTTAACACTAAATTGAAATGAAAGGCAATCAAAGTAGAAGCGTGTAATACTACGCTCAATCATCTAACTCTACTACTCAGCAAAAAATCAATAGATGGACTTTGACCGTTGTCTTGTAATATAAACCCTTACCTAACTCAACATTAAAGACTGTGTCGATTCAGTTGAATTTATAAGAGAGTAGATTCTGCCCGCGACCTTGCTCAAATGAAATTCCGCCTGCCAAAATGTCCTTGCTGCGCGTAGAGATCAAAATATGCTCTCAAATCTATCTACATACATAAAAGCGAAAGGTCACTCACTCACTCATCACGAAATTTCAGAAACTACAAGTTCGAGGAGTCTCAAATTTTGCGTGGGGTTTCCTTTTAGAACGTAGGTGCTCACTAAGGCGGGATTTTGCAAAATTCACCCCTGAGGGGTAAAACGGGGTCCACGCGCACGAAGTCGCGGCCGGCCGCTATTCCTATCGTAACTGTAAAATAAAATAGAATAAATAATGTAACGTTAGTGAATTCAGTCAAAGAAAGATTCTTCCAAGTTCCAACTTCAATCACATGATTTACATAAAGGTAATTTTTTCGAATCGTAAAACAAACACTAAAAGATAAAGTAAAGCTTTACTAAGGCTCAAAGATAAGATAGTAATGTTTTTAAATTAAACCTAATTTGGTTACAGGAGACTGCAGAGACACTTACGCCCGTATTCACAAACAATGCTTACTTAGGTGAAGCAGCAAATCGAACACACAGCGATGAATAGAGCTCTGTGATTGGTTCGTGTGTCACCCTGTGCGTCCACGCGCGCCGTGAGACCTCATAGTAATGTTTGTGAATACGGGCGCTAATTATTAACATAGTTTTTCGAGTGTATGTATGTGGGTATGTATGTATTATGTATGTATATTGTATATTTCTTTGGCACTGCCTACAGCCTAAACGGCTTGACCGATTTTAGCGTGAGAGGTATCGTTAGATTCGTCTTAAACGTGAGAGTGACACTGGCTATATTAAAATTGAAAAAATCAAAATGGCGGATTTTAGGCGCCGCGCCGTGTCTTAAAAAAAATTGTTTTTCTCAAAACCTATTTGAATATATTTTTTAATAAAAGATTGGACTATTTGTCCCCATTTCCTAAAAAGATCATCAACAACTTTTGGCTACAAAAGTTGTCAAGTGTGAGCTATAACACTTGCTTTTTTTACAAGGTTTACCTTCCAATTAGGCTTTGTCGTTACATGAGCCTGAATTAATAATGCTGTTGACGGATTAGGTGTTAAAGGTCATAATCCAACGCCTGCTCCTGAGCGGCTCATCGTTATCGAAATATTTTGTACCCTAATTGGGTCTCCTCCAAAGACCAAAAAAAGTGTATTAATCTATCTTTTATTAGCTGGTATTTTTCCACTTTATACTACAGAGCTGGGTATCCGTTTAGGTACATGTAACTTGTTTAATTTTTAAACCAAAATGGCAGCCACTCAGTATATGTTATTCTAGGCCAGGACTAAGTTATGTAGTGTTAAGTAGTTAGTAGTAGTGTAATGTTAAGTAAATTAATGTAGCAATGGAAGAAGTCCTTTCGCAAAAAGATCTATTATTCACAAATGTCACTACGATACAAAGCAAAATTGAGCGTGAAGTCATTGAGATAAATGTACCTACTATTATTTTAATGCGTGAAGCATGCACGGTCTGTCCATCGTTTTTCAAATTTGCTATGCATTTTATCTAAAAAAATATTATGTCACCACGACTAAACCAATTTGCTGAGCCATTATGTGTTGCTGCGAAACACATCATGACTGCATGAGTATACAGCCGGGCTAAGATATTATGAGCGCTGTGATATAATCTTATCGATGCTTTTATATGGCAAATGTATGGGTTTATCACGTAAAATTGATAAAATGCCTCAATAAAAGTTTGTTATTTGTTTCAGCTGAACTGAACTTTTCATTTAGAAACTTAATAATCAATCAGATGCTTACTTTTGATCCTTTTTATAAGTAATAATATGTCTTCTTTAATGCAAACAAACATTCTATGTCTACTTGTAACATGTCCAAATATTAAATAAACGACATCAAACGGTACGTTTAACGTTATCCAAATTCAAACAAGTGAGTTATTAAGGGGTGCATCACAGAAGCACAGTGTTTGCTTCCGTCCGGAAAAAAGTAGTGTATCGTCCGGAAAATCCGGACGTTCCGGGAATTACACGGACCGTACTATCCGGGCGTTTGCGTTTGTGCAGTTTAGGGAACTCGCAGGCGAGCGACATTATATCGGCGACTGATCTCTCTCTCTCTATCTCCGAACTCCTAATCGGAACCGTTTAAGATCAAAGTAAAAGATCGTGAATTCATTACAAGACTGAAAAAAGTTATGAGGTAATTTATTTTCATTTTCATACATTTGGAACATAGAATCTCACATTATGAAGTGTAAACGACGAGACGAGACCCGTGAATACTATATTATTTAATGTTTCCAAATTATTCAAATTTATGTATGCGAGTCATTTCTACTAGTACCTTAATATGTAAGTCTAGATATTAGCACGTCACTACCTTGTTTAATATACCACGCAATCTTGTATACCCATTCTTATGATACACCATACAAGAATGCATGGTAAATTCAGTGAACTGCTCCTGATTCGAATGTACCTACTACTACTATTTCTATTTATTTATATTAACCGGCAGACAGTGGTGACTGAGTTTGTTGCGGCGCTTCTTCTCAGCACTTGCCAAATGTTGGTCTCGAAGCGCTGGTAGGGTAAAAAGATTATGAGACATGTAGAGGCTCCTTAAGAGCATATGACGATTTGTAAGAACTATTTATTAGTCTAAACAAATAAAGAAATTTTGACTTTGACTTTGACTTTGTTTTGATATCTTCAAAATACCTGCATACTTTAAAGTGCCAAAAGTAACACTTTTTTAAACATATGAAAGGGGAGTTCAGTCGATCGATCGCAAGCAGTTGCCGATATTACTATTACTCGTCTGTGAGCTCTCACAGACGCAGTGGTGCGTCGCGCTGAGAAATGCACAATATTAGCTGGCAATAACTACTTCACTTTTCCATCGCTTTACGTAAAGGTATGCGTAAAAAAAGTAAACATGTTCATTTATGTTACTCGTACGTTTGCTTTGAGAAAGGCACTTTCAGAAAAAATTCTTGATAATAACGCGTGGTGGTCTCTGTATTTTTTAAAATATTATGTGTAGAATAGGTAGGTAGATAAAGTACTTAATAAGTAAATACGTTTGAGCTTATTTTATTAAGTATGTAACATTATTGAAAATAGAGTGTTTAATTTAATTTATCCTTTTTAAAGCAGTAGGTACCTATGCGAAGTACGCGCTACGCGATCACAAACTACTTACTTCTCGCAATGAAAGGACTCATTTTTTACAAACAGACAAAAACGGACATTATTCCACAAATCTCATTAATTTTCTTTTGTGTTGAAGTAAAATATAAATAAATGTACCTATTCTAGATTCTTGTATCGGATAATAATTTACATGAAATATTTTTGTCACAACAATGTACGAATATCTGTTGTTTTAAAATTGAATAATAATTTAGCTATGCTGAAAATACAGTTCAATGTTTGGAAACAATTGTTTTCAGGCGTTTGACGTCATAACTAAAAGTATTTCTTAACGTGAAAAATTAATAAAATTAAAAAAAAGAAATGGAATTTACTACATTATGATGAGTGCGGCTGTTCTTTGGTAACAATAACAATTTGTATGCAGGAAGGAAGACTCGTGTCAAAGCCACAATATTCATACGCCATAGTTATCAACAAGAATGATCAACGTAATATTTAAAAAATAAAATTATATCTGCAAACCTCTTAGAAAAATGAAAAAAATATCGATAGGAGCCAGGCCTCTATCCCCAAAATGGCCACTCCGGCATGCCACCATATTATTTTCGATTACGCACCGTACAATAGTTTGTGACGCCCAAAGTGGCCAAAAAGTTGACAACACAACCTTATTCCGAGGGCTATCGTTTTAGCGCTCACCAGTTGGCGCCACTGTAGAGTAAGGTCCTGTCACTTGCTAGTAGCGAAGACAGTGGCGCCAACTGGTGAGCGCTAAAGTGGTAGGAGGACTATCGCATTTGCACTCATCAAGATGGCGCAACTGTAGAGTAGGTCCTGTCAATCGCCAGGGGTGCCAACTGTTAAGTATAAAAACGATAGTCCTCATTGTAACAAAAACGTGTTGCGAACTTTTTGGCCACTTTTCGTGTCACGAACTATTTGACGCTGACTGAACCACTACTGCCGCGAAAACCTACTCGGTTTCAATCATAACAACCACTTGGGAATACACCGTGATCAAAGTTGTGAGAAGTAGCTAATAAAATGCGATGTTTCAAAATAAAAAAAGTAATAAAAATCCATGTATCGAATACCAATGAATGCGACGCAATTAAAATTCCGGTTTAAATTGAAAAATATTTTTCAGTAAACTCCAATTTTCATTTTTAACAACATTTTGAATCTGCACTGAATAAGCTTTATCGAAAATTTTCGCTGCGTTCCAATAAAAATAAAAAACACGGTTCCATGTACCGACAGGTTTTATTCGAAGTATTGCTCTGCAAACAATGGTTCATTTATTTATTTTTTGTTTCAGATACGGTGGCTGTATTTGCACAAATGTGGACCTACTCGAGTGTGGACATCCCGGGCTCTCGTATGAGCCGTACAGACAGAATAAAAATCTACTTGTCGGAGTGTGTCGTGTGTTTTTGCATAGTGTTCTTTATAATCTGTGTGGGGTTACTGTTGTACTTGTTTTTCCATCTGTACAGTACTGTGACGAGTGCGGGGAAACTCGCGGGCTCATTGGTAGCTGAGAGCTAGTGTTTACACTTTGCAGCCTAGATCCTTCTATTGATGTTAATGTGTTTAGACATGTGACAGTATTACAGCATGGAACAACAAACCAAACCAAATGGTGCCAACTTCGTGACGTGAAGCGACTGCAGTGAAGTATCTCAATAAATGTTTTATTACAATGTATTCTCATAGTTTAAGGATGCAATTTGTAAAATAGAAAATAGATAAACATCCATGATGTTATTTCGATTGCAATATTACTTTACTGGAAAATAGTTGTTTAATATTAATTAACATTACTTAGTACTTAGTTTCAATAAAATGTTAAAATATTCTCAAATATTTTGTAATAAAGATGTACTTTTAGAAGAACAATACAAAATAGACTTTTTTAAAACAGTAACCCCTTATTCACAAATATACCGTACTCTTTACACCTAATACAAGTAAATGCGTCGCCAAATGATAATTTTACAAAGTAAAAAAAAAACGTTTTCATGAAAACAGTCTTAGTTGTTCCGATTTTTATGAAAAAGGGGCTAACTGTTTATTTTACTGTTATTCCTTAAGAAAACTGTCTGTGATGTTAACTAGTAGTTATAGTATTATGTTATTCGTTAAACAATATCCAAATACATAAACGTTTTACCTAAAAGAAACGTTTTGTTATTTACCTTTGTTATCAGCATTGTGTGGGGAATGCAAAAAAGATTTCGTTCTGAATTAGTAGGAAGTCTTTGTATGGCAACCTTGGAGGTTTTTATCACGTTTAACATCACAAAGGCATATCTTGTGTACAGACGGCACATCAAGCTAAATACTGTGCTTTATGTAGTTGTAATTGAGCCTACTTTCCAACATAAATGTACAGTTTGATGCGCTGTAGAGACGGTACTATGCCAGGGTCTGGACCAAGTGTTGCCCAGAATCAACCCATAGTGCATTTTGTTCCTCAGGCCTATACTAATGTGTAAACCGAAGCGCTCTGAAGTCTATCCCTGGGTTAAGAGAAAAAAAGAGTTTTGTTTCGAAATATTTACATACAAAATATCATCGATGTATACGTACTACGCATAAGATTTCGCGATTTTGGCATTAAATAACACTCGTTATGTTGAACTTAACCATATTGCATCCGTACGCGTTACTTTAGTGCGATTTAGACATTCTTTATAAACGATTTAGCGCTATTTTAATTATTTGGTAAGTTGACAGAAATTCATTATTTCCAAAAATGAAGCAAGAAGTTTTAGTTTTATATTATTGCAAAAAAACAATTTATTGGTGTATTACAATCGATTATTGAAGTTATTAAGCTAAAACTTCTTGCTCCATTTTGGAAATAATTAATTTCTGTCAACTAACCAAACTACTGCAACAGCGCTTGATCGCTTATAAAGAATGTCGAAGTCGTACTGAAGTAAGGTGTACGGATGCAGTATGGTTAAGTTCAACCTAGCGAGTGTTACTTAATGCAACAATCGCGACATCTTATGCGTAGTACGTATACATCGATGATATTTTGTATGTAAATAATTCAAAACAAAACTCTTTTTTTCTCTTAACTCCAGGGATAGATTTCAGTGCGCTCCTGTTTATAAATTAGTATTGACCTGAGGAACAAAATGCACTATAGTTTCATTCTGGGCCGCACTTGGTCCAACTTCCATACATGGATTGGCACTGTCCAGCCATGTTGACTCTACTCATAAGTCTCACTCTTATGAGAAGGCCGATGTAAATAAGTAGTTTAGAAATGGCGAAAAATTATCCTTTTTTAGGTGAAAAGCAAGTTGGATACATAATTTCTTGACTAAGTATTCTAGTACAGCCTTCGTAGACAGAATTTAAAATGTGTGTTTTAGTTTCGAAATCGCTTCGCTCTGGCGTTTTTTATGTTGTTACTTCGTTCCCTGAAGTGATTTCGAAATGTGAACGGTACGAATGTCACTTTGTCACCGGTGGATGGGATATACTGGAATGTTCAATAGTCAGAATAGATAAACTTGATCCATCCCACTTCACCCATCCCAAGGAAACAAACGAATCCGATATTTTTCTATTTCAAGTCGAGAATCACACACCTATTTAATACTGATTTCTTCAGGGTAATCAAAATACAAATAAAAATGTATCTTCAATCATTGAAGTAGTTACGTAAACTATGATAGTAATTTACAACAACACGAAAACTGAAACAATAGCGTACTCTTTAAAATTCGCACAGCGTTTCCGTTTCAATAACCAACCGCATTCAATTCTGGTTCATAACTCATGCAGGTAAGGTGCACTTTATTGGGCGGTTCATTTTCCTACTACCCTCCTGTATTATTACGTGTCTGTTGCCGAATAAAATCAATATCCGGTTCGGTTTAATAACCGTAGTTTTGCAGAGCGCCCGGATGGCTAATTACGGAGTAAAACTGACAGAGTCCATGAGCAATTACAGGAATAACCGGGATATATCCGCCATCGAGTGCAGGAACAGCGCGGTATTAATTTTGATCAAGCGCACTTTTAATTATGCAGACGCAGGTTCCATGTTTTAATTTTAAAGTGCTTGAAGCCGCGATAATAAGGGGGAGGTCGACTCTATCGAAGCCAGATTGGACCACTAGTTGCCAATTACCGCCATAAGGAGCCGCCACAAGATTTTTTTTCTTATCTTCTGACATTACAAGAAACTTATTATAATTGTTTGAACAGAGTAGTAACTAAAATAATGTCTGACTACATAATATTTTTTAGCGAAATAGCACCCAACTAAATCTATGGGTAGGTAACAAACAATCTCTTTGATGTAGGTACCAGCACCGTCCGTCGTATCAGAAACACTTAGGACCTACTCAGAATTTAGGCTTCAAGATGATTTTTGATATCTACATTCATAGTTCATGGCGGCCATCGACTAAATGAAGCACTACCTTGTCCAACCTGTGGCGGCCACATATGGCCGAGTGTGTGGCGGCCCTAAAACACCTGACCACTACCTAATGGATTATAATGGATTTTAAAAATGAAATCCATAAAGCCTGCAACAGACATTTTCAACGAACACACGGGTGAGTAAAAGGTTTTTCCATTTCTGTAATCGAATATCAAAAGTAGAAAAGCGCTGGATAAATACAAACCACGAGTTCACTCCGTTAGCCTTGCAGCGCACACACTCAATATTTACAACTTTACTAACACCACTAACACACTGAATTTCATATAGACTGCAAACGTAACAGAGTTATACGCCCGTATTCACAAACGATGCTTGCATAAGTGAAGCAACAAATCGAACGCACAGCGTTGAATAGGGCTCTGTGATTGGTTCATGTGTCACACTATGCGCCCACGTGCTCTGTGAGACCTCATAGTAATGTTTGTGAATACAGGCGATATAGGTTAGGTTGTTGGTTAGGACACGGTAATACTCTAGTTAGGATGTTTAAACTGTTACTAGGGTAAAAAACAAAGTGACACTCCTCAATCATTCGTTCAGTTAAAAACTTAATTACCTACAATTTGCGCTTAAAAGCAGTAATTAAATGACGGGGCTATCTACTTCTTTTTTTTTCATGTTTTTTAATGTCTAAAGCGGGTCATACTAAAAGCATTTATGGAAAAAAAAGTATTAGTTATATACAATTACATAAATACCTAAATTCTCAACACCAAGGACAATTTCTTATTAATGTAGTCATCCTCATTTGTTTGCTTACTAAGCCTATCCTTGCCTAGGCGTCGACTTTATACCGGAGCAGTTTATAAAGACCCCTTTTAATCGTTCTCCTTGAACCTGAAGCTCGTTCAATATTCATTAGAAGAACGTTCTGGAAAGTTTCTTACAGTCCATCAAACTCGACCTGTATTTTTTAATTCAAGTTACAGAGTATCCCAAAAACAATGGATAACCCTGCAACTATCGATAGGCCTCCTCATGAGGACAATATAATCTCTCTAATATCAAATTTTGACCTTAGTAAAAATATCTCAGTTATCAATATTAGTTTTTCTGAATCCAATTCAACAAACTAGTTCAAAAGTATTTAAAAAAATAGAAAAAAAGAAAAATTTAATTGTCTCGCATCGCAATCACAGGTCACTTTAAAATCTCTAAAAAATTAGAGAAACCCTAGTGAGGGTTATCGATAGTTACAATGCTATCCATTGTTTCTAGGACACGCTGTATTAGAATATTATTTAGTAAGATAAGGAAAATACTCAATGTATTTGCTTGTATTGTACCTTTCGAACGAAACGTTACATTGCGATGTACGATAACATCTCTAGCGAATATTCTAGCTAGCACGAGAATATGAACACCTTTAGCCTAGGCGCAGACCACCAATTTTTAATTGGCCGATTGTTGGGTCGAGCTGTTGTTCAGTGTGGAAATGTATGGAAGTGCGCACATTACACCGATTTGGTATCGGCCGATTCTTCATACAAATTAGAATCGTGCCCAATTATCGGCCAACTAAAAGTCGGTGGTCTGCGCCTAGGCTTAAGCTTCATGTTCAGTGCTTCAATACAGGTATGAATGAAGTTGCGGCTTAGTTTCGTAACTCGTTTGCAATTTCATTTTGGCTATTCGCAGAAATTCAATCATTTCACGTTGCTGGAATTTTCCACGGCAAACACATTACAGCTTAAATCGAGGCCCAGTTAGGGGCCTTCCATTAATGATGCTCTTATGAAACGAACGTAATTGTGTACTGTCGTTTATTTTTGTATTTCAAAATAAATATGGTTCGCATATGAAATAATAACTCATATTAGTTTTCATTGAATCATCAAATATAAATTTTATTTCTGCTTGGCCGAAAATTCAACTGGAAAATGCCACATGACGTTAATTTGTACCCTAATATGCAAATAATTTTGAAATAAATAAGTAAGAAAAATATTATTTACTAATTACAGTGATTTAGTTGTTCAGTCCTTAAATTCCCCGAAAATAAACACTGACCGAAATGTCTTCACTTAGTTACCTACTTCTTTGAAATTCTCGTAGTAATACAACCTAATTCAAACTTAACAGTAAATAAGTTAACCTATCATAAACAAAGAGCTAATTAAAGAGGTCTTAA